TGGAATTGTATCAAGTGCTTCACCCTCATCCTAGTGTGTTTCCCAAGTAACAGGCAATGAAAGAATAGAAATGTTAAGAGACAACAGTTCGCAAAAGGATTGTAATCTCTTTCCTAAAAGAGAAGATAAATATATTTACCCAGCATAAGATCAGGAGACAATTTAGGACTGGATAATAAATGGTTGGGAGACTAGGCCAAGAGATTTGAGCCATATTTTGTAGACGATGTTGTTATTGTTGTTGTTATTGTTAATGCCATCAAGTCACCTATGACTCACAGCAACTCTCTGAGCAATGGCTCTGAACCTTGCCCTATCCTGAGCCAAATTTCACCATCTCTGACACACTTCACCCCATTGCCACAGTCACTGTGTCAGTCCATCTCATTCAGGGTCTACCTCTCTGTGCTGGACTTCTACCCTTCCAAGCATGATGTTCTTCTCCAAGGACTGGTCCTTCTTGGCAGCATGTCCAAAACATGTGAGATAGAGCTTCAAAATATTTGCCTCCAAGGAGCAAACTGTTTTCACTGTCTCCAGGACAGGGCTGTTTGTTCTCTTGGAAGTTCATAGTATGTTCAATGCTCTTCTCCAACACCACAACTCAAAGGCATTGATTTGTCTTCTGTCATCCTCAATCATTGTCCAGCTCTCAGATGCATAGTAAGCAAATTGAGAAGACCACAGTGTGGATCAGGCACACCTTTGTCTCTAAACTGACATCATTATTCTATAATACTCTGGCCAGATCTTCAACAACAATTTTTTTCCCAATACAATTCATCTTTTGATTTCCTGAGTGCTGGTGCCAAGAACGTTGATTGTGGATTCAAGCAAGATGAATCAATAATCATAATCCTTTCTCCACCTACCATGATACTGCTTTTTGGCTTGGTAGTGAGAATTTGTGTTTTCTTGATGTTGAGATGCAATCCATATTGAAGATTGCAGTCCTTGACCTTCTACAGAAAGCACTTTAATAGGGAAACACAAATATGAGAAATAGTTGCAAACAGCCACAATAACTGGAATGTGGACTGTACAGAGTATGCATATAGGAAAAGTGAACATGCTTGAAAAAGACATAGAATACATAAAAACTGATATACTAGGCATGGAGCCATTAGAAGTTGGTGATTTGTTGTTTTTCTTTGTTTGGGTACTCTTTTTGGTTTGGTAGAGATTAACGTTTAGTTTTGTTTTAAGCAAGTACAGGAAGACATGTGCAAGACAGAAGATTCATTTGGTTGCAGACTTGCTAACTTCCTTCAAGAAGTTTCTACTCCACATAACTGGAAGAACAATGCAACCAACAACAGAAATGGAGAAGTCAAAGCCAAGGAGGAAACAAATAGTTCTGTCTTGTTAGACTTGACAGCTGTGTTCTTAGAGACCCTGTGTTACTTTTTAAAAATCCTATCACACACAACACAAAATCATTGTTTCAGCAAAAACAAAGAAGTTAGTTCACCTAAAACACATTAGTTTCTTTTCTTTGTTCTTCTGTCTAAAAAACCAAAACAACCCAAAACTCACTGTTATTGAATTGGAATCTATTTATAGTTGACTGTCCTGAGGGGTTTCAGAGGCTGTGAATCATGCAAGAGGATATTGCCCATCTTTCTCCAACCACTTTGCCACTTTGGGTCATATGGATTATGCTATCAGAGCTCCCTGTTCCTTTATGGATGAGCTTTAAAAAAATGAAATATTCACTGTCAAGTGAGTGCTTGCTCTGCCTCCAGCATTTTCCTGAACAATTTTCTTTATTATTTCATTTAATTCTCAAAGCAACACAATATGAAGTGCTCTTATGACTCACTTTTGAGGCAGACAGAGGTTATGTAACTTACATAAGTCCCTACAGCTAGTGGGTGGAGGTGGTATGTCATTGTTGTTTTCATCATCATTGTTGTTGTTATGTGCCGTTGAGTTGCAATACTATGTACAACGGCTCTGAACCCTGTTCTATCCTGAGTCAATTTCATTACCTCCAACACACCCATTCCCACGACCCCAGTTTCTGAGTTAACCCATCTCATCCAGGATCTTCTTCTTTTGTGCTGTCCCCCGGACAGAATGAATCACTAACATGCTTCCCCTACAATAATTTTATTAAGCAAAAATAATGGGATTTTTGTCATTCTATTTATTTCAAGATAAAAATTTACTGCTTAAAACAGACTATATCAAGCCTGAAAATCACCCAGGTCTGGCCAGCATGAGTCCAGATAAAAACCAATGAGTCCTTAGACCACAAGGTTGAAATTAGATGGTAAAATGCATAAAAAAATCAAAATAAATTAAGCAATTATTCCAAACATTAACAAAAGAACACAGCTTTAGTTTGCTTGGCTCCACAGTCAACACTCTTGGCACCAATAGCCAGGAAATTAAAAGGCGCATTGTCATGGGAAAGTCTGCTGTTAGGGACCTCTCCAAAGTACTGAAGAGCAATGGTGTCTCTCTGAAGACTAAGGTGCATCTGATACAGGCCATGGTCTTCACAATCACTTGTAATGCATCAGAGAGTTGGACAATGACCAAGGAGGACAGAAGGAGAATTGATGCCATTGAGCTGTGGTGCTGGAGAAGAGTATTGAGAATACCATGGACTGCTAGAAAAACAAACAGATTCATCCTGGAAAGGGTTAAACCGGGCGGCTCCTTGGAGGCAAGGATTCTGAGGCTCTGTCTAACATACTTTGGACATGTTGTGAGGAGAGACCAGTCCTTGGAGAAGGACATCATGCTTGGGAGGGTGGAGGGATAGCGCAGGAGGGTAAGGCCCTCTATGAGGTGGATTGGTTCAGTGACTGGGATAATTGGGATGGGAGTGTCAGAGACAGTGCGATTGGCACAGGACAGAACAGAGTTTAGAGCTGTTGTACATAGGGTCGCTATGAGTCACAAGCGACTTGACGGCACATAACAGCAACAATAACAACAACAGAACTTAATGTGTTGAAGTAGCAGGTTAGTTAGCCAAAGCTCTGGACATAGTGCTTTTCTCCTTCTTGCATCTGCGTGCAAGTCTCCAGCTGCATACTCTCCACCTAGTCTTTTTTACTGTATCTGATAAGCACTATTTAACTCACACTGAAAGAAATATCTATAGTATTTCAGAGAAGCTGGACATGATAATGGATGTAGGAGCTTAAAGAAATCCATACATTTTATCATGTATTGACATACACATTACTTCTCATGTTTAAAAAAAAATAGCCCAGTGTCCCTTAGTATATCCTGACCTCCTCCTTTAAAGTCACTCTCTCCTTGTATTTATTTACTTCTTTGAGAAGTACCCCCTTCATGGTAAAGTGAATCTCATCCAAACATTGAGGCTTACTCAGCTCCACAGTCAATGTCTTGGCACCAGCAGTCAGGAAATCAAAAGACGAATTGCATTAGGTATATCTACTGTCAGGGACTTTTTCAGAGTATTGAGAAGCAAGGATGTTAAGTCTAGAAACTAAGGTGTGTTTAATCCAGGCCATGGTTTTCGCAATTACTTACTATGCATCAGAGAGGTGGACAATGACTAAGGATAACAGAAGAAGAACTGATGCCTTTGAGTTGTGGTGCTGGAGAAGAGTCTTGAACATTGAACAGCCGAAAAAAAAAACAAACAAATAAGTCTTTTTTGGAGAGGGTGAAACCAAGTATCTCTTTAGAGGCTAGGATTTTGAAGCTCCATCTCACATATTTTGGGCATGTGGCCAGGAGGGATTGATCATGAAGGATATCATGCTCAGGAGGGTTGAGGGATAGTGCAGGAGAGGAAGACTCTAGATGAGATGGATTGATACAGTGACTGGGTAAATGGGGGTAGGTATGTCGGAGTCAGTGAGACTGGCTCAGAACAGGACAGATTTCAGAGCTGTTCACAGGGTCACTATTAATTGCAGGCCACTCGATGGCACATAACAACAACAACAAGTTGTGCCCCTCCCTACAACAGCTGTAGGGGTCCCCTAATCACAGGTCAAACACCACCAAGCTCTGAGGATGTAAAAGAGGAAGGTCATCAGTGTTCCAGGCCGAGTTAACGGAGGGCAATGAGCTGTTCAGACCCAAGCACAATATGGTCAGATTTGCCCCTCAGGGTAACTGTGTACCATAACATGGAGACCTGCAATGGACATGCAGCTTTGGGCAGAGAGCTCACGAAGACTGCCCTGCAATGAGTTTAGACCACTCTGACTCATCAGCTCTCTGACTAAATTCAATGAAATAAATAAACTGAAGAAGAATTTACACAGGCTGCTCATATCTATGTGAACATCACTGAAATTTGGGCTCTTGCATTGTTGTATACAAATTTAAGAAAAGGAACAAAGTGATTAATGCAAAATAAAATTAGAAAGCCAGGTTTCTACTTTTTTCCTAAACAAATCCATGCATTTTTTTTTAGAATCCACTGGTGCTGGGGAGGGCATAATATAATAAAAGAAACATTGAGACCTTTTTCCAAGCTGACTCAACAGACAATTGCCTGGAATTTAAATTTGTCTGATCACACCTCCTTGTACTTGCCTACTACCAGACCTAACCAGGTAGAGTATCTAACAGCATGATCAGAGCTGAGAGATAAAAAAAATCTTCCCATGTGGCAACACTAGGGAGCTCTGACACCGCTGCCTGAATACGGCTGGAAAAGAAGAGCTCTTCTCATTATTTAATCAACACAGAAACTTGGTAGGCCAGGGGATAAGGAGTTGCACGGCCAATCCAAAGGCAGGCAGTTTCACATCCACCAAGTTTTCCACGGGAGAAAAATGGACAATCTGCTTCTGCGTGATTTACAACCTCTGAAGATCAGCTTGCTGGAGGCTCAGCTACAAGTCAGTTCCGACTCAACAGAGGTGAGCTGAGTTTGCATGTACACATTTAAGGGGAGTAGATACCCCCAGCAATGTACAGCAGTGGTGGTGAGGAAAAGGGCAATTCCAGGGCCTTTTCTCTGACCATCTTTTTGTCCCCACTGTCCCCATGCTCACCTGTCGATGGCAATGGCCAGCAGGACATTAGTGGAGACATAGATAGAAACAGTGCGTAGATAGTTGATGGAGGCGCAGAGCACCTGTCCATGCTCCCAGGACAGCTGGCGTACCACATAGTAGTCCATCTCAAAAGGACAGCAGACAATGGCCACCAGAAAGTCAGAGATAGCTAGGTTAGCAATGAGCAGGTTGGTGAGATTTCGCAGTTTCTTATATCGGGCCAGGGCAACGATGAAGATGAAGTTGCCAATGCCACAAACCAGCATGATGCCCACCAGGGCCATGCCAATAACAATCTTGGCAGCAAAGAAAGTGTGAGACTTGGTCACATCCTCATTTTCATCCAAGGTTATATTGTAGTCCTCATAACTGGAGTTGAGTGGGAAAGGACTTGGGTCTCCGTGGGGTTCAACCATAGAAAGGAAGTTGGTGGAGGTGTTGGTGGCATTGTCATCCCCAAGCCCCATAATGAACTCCATCTGGAAAGTGGAGCTCCTCTGCTGGCTCTCTGGTCTCCTTTAGAGAGTCAATCTTCCAGCCAACATCATTGGGCCACAGCATCCAAGCTCTATCCTAAATCGCTGAAAGACAAACACATGTTCTACACATGTGAACGGAGCTGGAGCCTTTAAAACCATTATGTGACTAGGCCCGTCCACAGCCTCCTCAGTATGAACATAGGGTGATAGTGGATATTATGTGCCCTCAAGCCAGAACTCACCAGTGACCCTCCAGTGGGTGTTCAGATGCTGCAAATCACACAGGAAGAGAATGTGCACTTTTCTCCCAGGATGCCCCTGGAGGATTTGAATTGAAGAAGGTCTTCTGGTTGGCAACACAACTCCTTACCGAGTAAGCCAACAGCACTCACTTAGGGTGGTAGAGTGAAACAAAGGAACAAATGCCAGAAAACAAAACACAATACCTCAGCCCCACTCAAGGGAGGCTGGAATGTTGTAGACATGGTCAGGTTCTGTTTACTGCCATTGTATAAAGGCAAAGTTATTTGAAGATTTTTGTCTCAGGGCCCAAAGCTGGCAGTGCAGGTAGGCCTTTAACAGACACAGCCTGCACTAAACCCGTGTTCCAAATTTCATTCACTGCGGGCCTGCCTGCGCTTTGTCCCTTGTGTATGTGCTGTCCACACTCCTCAAAGGGCTTGACATTTGGGAGCCAGACAATAATCTTCTGCACCTCAATAGGATTTAACTCCATTCCTTCCCTCTCTGCCAACTCCCTCAATATCCCACCCGTGTTCCTCAGATTTTGCCTCTTCCTTTAAGTCATCAGCCTGTCCTGGACGTGGACAGAGCAGGACTCACACATGAAGGATCAAAGGGACCCAAGCTTGGCCCGCCTGGAAGGACTCGCTGAAAACACAGAGGAGAGCAGGAGAGGGGGCTCACTCTGGTGACTTGCACCCAACACCCAAGGCGGGGACTCCGCCAGCTCTTTTGGAGAGAAAAGCACTCTCCCAAGCTTCTGGCTCAGCCTCTAAGTCAGAATTTCTAAACAAAGCTCATAGAAGCTCGGGGCGGGGGTCGGGGGTGGGTGGGTGGAGGGTAAATCTGACGACTTAAACCACTGGCAGAAATGGTCCAGCGACCATTCCTCCTTTATTCTCACAGTTCAGGGAGCACCTCCATCTCCACCGGAGTCTTCTGGAACCCCTAACTGGCACTTGAGCCCAAACCGCAACCCCGAGCCTGTCTTTGTAATTCCTACTGTCAGTCCTCTCAACCTGAGAAGGCTACAACCAAGGACAGAAAGGAGGGCGCATCTCGACTTCTGGGTGAGGGGGAGTAAGCAGAGTCAGTCTCTTCAAATGCAGCTTTTCCATTCACCAGCCCCCGTTTCCCACATGCAGGGGTCAGGTCCTCCGAGCCTCTACCCCGGGGACGCGCTAGATACCTGCTGGGCATCTCCGCTGGCTTCCTTACTGGGAATGGGGTCCAGGGAGGCTTCTTGCACAGCCCGGCGGAAAGGTAGCAGGCATCTGGTCCTTCCTGCAGTTTTCTAGGTTCATGCCCCTCCGAGAGGCGCACTGTGGACGCTCTGCCACGAGGATCCGCCGCCGCGGGGACCCTGCTGCGTGGCTGCCTCTCGGGACGCGCCCCCCGCCCCCTGCTCCCGCGGGCAGCTCCAACGAGGTCGCGAGAAGCCTCCAAGCCCTAATGCGGGGATCAGTGCGGGTCTCACTTCTGGACGCTCCCCGGGACCCCTCCCCGCAGGCTGTTTCTCAGCTCAGGCTCCCGCACTGTGAGCGAGGCTGCCGGCGCGCCGCTCTGTAGGAGGCGCCTGGCTGTGCTCGCTTCAGCACGCGGGTCATCAGGGCCAGATCACTGTGTTAGCCCCAGGGTATGAGTGGGTGGAGACGGCCTGGCTTAAACCACCAACCTTGAGCCCATCCACTAACCACCTGGCTTCACAGGTAGTGTTTCAAAGAGCCAGGAGGAGCTTCCCGCCTGCGCCCGGAGCCGCCCTCAACTGGCACTGGGTCAGAGGAAGCCTTGTCCCCAGGGCAGGCTAAGGGCACAGCAGGTTCCGTTTTTGTCCTCAGTCACAGGTATTTCTTGTGTGGAAGCTTCAGACAGCCTCTATCCGGAATGTGGTGAAGCGGGATTGAGGGACCAGAAAATGGAAGGAACTCCCCAGGAGGAGGGATTCTAGTCAGAAGACACCAGAGCTGCTTTGCAGAGCATAAATCAAACCAAAGCCACTGGGGGTCACACAGAGGGTCCACTGGATTTCCCAGACTGTAAATCTTTTTTACTTTTATTTTATTTTATATTGGTTTGCTTACAAAGTTTCACACTATTCGTTATTCACAATGTTTCACACTATCATTCGCATGCATTGTGTTTTATAAAATTAATCACCATTGGACCTTGCACATCATTACCCTGTCTTTCCAGGTTCGTAGCAGCATTACCCACCATCACAAGAACGTGGAAACAGCCTAAATGTTCAACCACAAGCGAATGGTTTGGGAAATTGTGGTACATTCACACAACGAAATACTATACAGCACTCAGGAGCAACGATTTCGAAAAATACTACTTAATTTGGGAAAGACTGGAGAGTAATATGCTGAGTGAACTGTAAATCTTTATGGGAAGAATTTGTTCATCTTCTAGGAGGAGCAGCTGGTGAATGTGACCTTTCCATTAGCAGTGCCACTCTTAACACACAAGGCTGCCAGAACGCCTTCGTGGAGCACAGATCTCACTCAAAAAGGCTAGTTCCAACCTCCCATACCAGATAATCCAAGATAATTTCAATATGCCCTTGCATACTGCCATTGAGGTTAGTAATCATCAAAAAGGCTACACATGATGTGCCAACGTTGCTTCAAACACACTGTGTCATTTCAGAAATGCCATATAATTTTTCTGTGGTTTTCTTCAGTTACAAAGTTAATGAATTGAACTTGTACTGGGAAGTCTCAATGATTCATGCCAATACCCTCACTTGGTCAGGCACAAAACTCTTGTCACTTTCAAAAATGTCACAGCACTTTCATAAAACCTCATGTCCTACAGACAATGGATCTGGAGAGTAGTAGTAATTGAGAGCATGGGATATAGTCAACTGCCTCCTTTCCATTTAATGCTGAACATAAGAGTTATGTGACTAATGTTTGCATTTGTAAATTAATTACTGGTAATAGTGACTCCTACTTTGTAAGATTGTTCTGAGGATTTAGTAAGATAGAAGAGGTGAAGAGTTTAGCAAACATCTGTCACTTGGCAGGTACCTGATAAATGTCAGCTATTGCTATCACTGTGTGATTATTTTTGTATCCTGTTCTATGATGCTTCTCAGATTTGCCCAGTGAATGGACCTAGAAAACTATATACTTAACCATTACCTATGTAATTATTGAATGTGTTTGACAGTCTAAAGGCAAACCTAAAATAGAACCTAGCACAACCAATCTCCTTGTGGACTGTTAGACAGCCAATCCCCTTGTGGATAGGCTAACATGCCCTATACCCATATTCCCATCTATCTACACTGTAAATTCAAATAGTGGCTAGGAAAGTCACATTGAAAAGTAAACTCCACAACCCTAAACCTGATGGTTTGACATGATGACTGCAACAACAGCATCAAGTATGTTAGAAATTATGAGGAAGGCACAGGATAAGACAGACACAGGGTAATTCAGATCTGTTCATAGAGTTCTAGGAGTCATACGAGACTCAATAATACCTAATAGCAACAACAGTTCTGGGACAGAGTGCTTTGGTCTACATTAAAATCTCAAATTGAGAAGTTGGTTTATTATTAAGATAATGGAAAGAGATTAAAAATAAAATATAGAATCCCCTTGATGTCATTTTAAAAAATCAAGTTTGCCAGCAGCCTAGATATTTTACCTCTCAATTTAGTCAGGTGCCAGCAGGGAGCAGAAGTGTCCTACCTTATGCTACCTACAAAGAGTATTATACCTGCCTACAAAAAGGTCCTTAATACAGGAAAGAATTTGCAATGAGAGGGAGCCCTCATCAAAGAAGATATAAAGAATTGACTTGGGAAGCACTTTCTTTGGATCTAATTTTCCTGAATCTGAAGTAATGCACATAGTTTACTTTGGATTTCCCCCCTTCCTATTACTATTATTTTATTTTCTTTACTTGTTTCCATCTCATTCTTGAAGAGCACTACTTGTGCTGTTAAGTCCAAGTCTACATGTCTTCATCAGCTCTAATTCACCAAAGGACTATAGAATACAGATGGGAAATCTCCTCTCATTATGATTTATAGCCTTGAAACCTCAGCAGGGGTTGGAACAAATTGGAACAGACCTGACAGCAATGAGATAGAATGTTCATGCTTTATAGCCTTTTGAATTCTTAGCTCATCATTTAAACTTATAATTATGTCATTTTGATTCAGAAATGAAAGTTTTTAACATCTCTGAGTTTTTCAGCCATGCAACTCCTGTGTCTTCTAGTAAAGACTACACAGAAACCCAACTCAAGGAGATCCAAAAAGGTCATTCAGCAAGCACACACTGGGGAGAACTGGTATCCAAAAAAGTAATCTACTGTCCAAAAGGCAAACATGTAATTCAAATCTCTTGGATCTTTGCCCTGTGCTCTGTCCAATTCTTGAGCCTGCCTTGATCACAACATGTATTTTCTACCTGTTCTTAATTTGCTCCTTTAGATCCTTGACTCCAGGGCCCTGTCACATGTTCCTGTTTGACAAAGGTAGTAAATCAGCGTATTTTCTGCTTTCATACACACCCAGTGCCTTGAAAAAAAATCAAAGATTTCTGGAAGATACTCAGAGCTGGCTCCAACACATCCTACATCCTTTTCCAATAACCTAGCCTGTATCTGAGCCAGTGATGCTTGACCAGCTTTCCATCACACACTCAGGAGATCATTTGGTCTATTTTCCAACTTTTCACATCTCCAAATTTAATTTAAGACAGCTTCAGGGAGGATAGTTCGATTCAGAGCCTTGC